CTGTTACATTTATCCGTCCACAGTGAATTGTTCATTATTTTCGATAGAGCTAGAATGAAAGGTGAGGCAAATATGAAATCATGTGAAAATTTCTAGTTTATGTAGTGAATCATTTCCAGCGTGTACTGCTTACACAGGCATGTGCGAGTGGACTGGATTATGTGGTAGGTTAAGGGGAGAGAGAAGAAGGGAATATGTTGGACAGAGAAGAAGGCTCTAGAGGATGTGGACTTCCCCGCTGATTTATGTCTAATGTCGGATAAATATGAAGACTAACAGACTAGGACCAACAAGTTTGCAGAAGAGGAAGGCAACGAAAGCAGGACTTCAAGTGAACATAGAGAATACAGAGATGAAGAAGATAACCAACCAATCACTGTCAATGGTAGGAATTTGAAAGTGATCACCTCCTTAATATATGTGTAAAACTTGGGCACTGTGGTAGTAAGTATCCCAGGCTGTAGCAGATATATTCATGGATAGGTGGGAAAAAATAGTGATTGAAACGTTCACCCCTTTGCCCAAAAGTATGGTGGAGATATGTAGATGACACATTCACTGTACTTAGAACACAGGATATAGATAGATTTTTCGAACACATTAACTCGAAGGTGGAGGCAATTCAATTCACTTATGAATTGGAAAATCAGGAAGGGGAGCTTCCAATGTTAGATTGCAGTGTAAAAAGGAAAGAAGATGGGAAGTTAAACACTAGTGTTTACAGGAAACCCACACATTCAAACAGATATTTGGACTTCAGATCATCCAATCCTATGTCAGTAAAAATAGGAGTGGTGAAATGTTCAAGTGACAGAGCAGAAAAACTAAGTAGTACCAAGGAAAATCTAAGACAGGAGGTGATGCATATAAGAGAATCCTTGAAACTTAATAATTACCCTGATAAATTAGTCAGGGAATATGTAAGGAAATGCAAAAATAAAATAAATAGTGATAGTGATAATAATAATAATATTAATAACGACATGCATGTCAAATATGCGCAACACAACACCAACAATAAGGAGTCTAAATCATCAGTAGTAATTTCATACAAGAAAGGAACCTCGGAAGCCTTACGCAGAATTCTTAACAAGACAGGAATAAAAGTGGCTGGCATTCAAACCACCCACAAACTCTATTAGTAACAAGCTTTGTTGGTTAAAGGATCCTGCCAGTGGAGCCTTTAAAACAAAACAATTTAGTTTATCTAATACACTGCCTGAAATGATTGTCGGGTCAAATACATAGGTCAAACTAATAGAACAGTGTCAGTCAGACTATCGGAGCATAAAAACTTAGCAGCAAAATCTAGACTAGTTGACCCGAATAAGATGAGAAATCTGGAGAATAGTTCAGCTATATCACTCTCTACATGCAATTACACACAACCACACAATAGGATGGGATAGGATGATAGTTTTAAAATCTAATGCCATAGGGTGGAGGGAGAGATTGATAACGGAAACTTTGTTTATCGAGTCAATTGAGAGGGAATACGTGTAATAGGAATGATTCATCACCCGTCCCCGATATCTGGAAAATTCTACTACCCCAACAACGACAAATAGGAGGGGACACAGAAAACTATAAAACTCAAGTTTCAAAGTCGTGTGATTATAATTGATGAAATGATTATGAACAATAAATTTTGTTCGAAACGTCATCCAGTAAATAATACTGTTTCACTGTGTGATACATCTAATAAACAAACTAATATGATCACCTCCAATTATCTAGCTATGCAGCATCGTTTCGACTACAAGCAGCCGGTAAGGATGAAGATTTCAAAGCCACTCAGAATCGGAAAGGCGAAATAAACCTTGATTATTCTGAAAACACTTCGGAAATCGTCTTCACTCAGCATCAGGAACAAGGTTAGGATTTTCAACACAAATTTTTAGTTCTGTTGTATGGATCAGAAACTCAGGGCGTCACGAAACACCAGGATGCCTTCGACTTTTTTATTACCGAAGATGACATAGCCAGAAAGAATTGACAACAAGAAACTAAGGGAACGAGCCATTCAAAAACTATTACGCAACAATTATGCACGGGAAAATGCACGAGATGGGTTGGTTAAATGCTGAGGAGACCACTGAGCGACATTTTACACCAGGCCATAGGTAGAGTGGAACCCAAATGGGAAACAAGCGACAAGTTGCACGTG